CAATGCTCTCAAAGTGCTTATGGCACACTTTTCGGCACATTTTCGGATACCCTTTGTGCACTTTGGCCTGTCTGCTGTCTGAATAGAAACGGCTTAAGCCTAAGCTCTTCAGATGCCCTTCGTTGTTGTTTTAATGCTATTGTTGCCGATGCTAATGTTGTTATTGACAGCCAACAAACAACAAGGACAGCTACAACAATGAAAGTCAGCAGGAGGAGGAGGAGGGCCATCGACGCAGGTCTGACATTTTGTGACAATTCGCGTAGGTTCGGCTACGTCATCCACTCCGATGCCGCAACAAATGCTCTGGATACGACTCGACAGACATATAGACGCAGGCGGGGGGCATTGGAGACATCAGAGCCAGGGCAAAGCCACCGGCACAGGAAGGAAGGAAGGAACCGACCAACTCCACCAACTGACGCGACAATTTTGAATTGCAGGGAACGGGCGGCGAAGTTGACAGCTGACAATCGACGTCGAAAAGTCGCACGTTTCGCTATTTAAAGGCTATTTTCGGATTTATCGATTAAATGAATACTTGGACTGAGTAGAATGGGAATAAATTATAAATAAAGTCGGCTCGTTGCATTATTGATAGGCCAGAGATAATAGATTTTGAATATCGCTCATACGCCACGTTGTGTTATTCGTAGGAAAAACCAATTGACGACAATTGTGAATCATTTCGAATGAAAAGCAATTTCGGGAAATTGTCAACATGAAAAGAAAAGATAAGGAAAACAAAATGCAAGCAGAAAAGTGAAAGAGATTACAGCGAAAATAAAAAATTAAACCAGAAGAAGAGATTTATGAAGCGTGAGCCAAAAGAAAAGCATAAATTTGCCGTGCTTCGCTAAAAGGGGCAGGGGGAGGGGGAGAGGGAGGGTGTGGGGGTGGGGGTGAGTGTAGTTAAGCGAACGTGAAAAAGTTGAACTTTATTCAGGGCCAGTTGCCTTGGCAATGGACTAAAAGCAAGATAAACCTTGAGGGCGTAGTTGCATTTGAAGGTTCGAGCGGGAAAAACTAAAAAAGCTTCTAGAACTTTTCACGTTTCACGAATGTCGCAACGGAAATTGACTTTATAGGTCGCCTGACCTTTTGCCTGGCGAATGCAAAGTGCCAAATTAAAGTCACAGAAACTATTGAATATTGATATCATGTGAAATTTTAAATAAAAATCGAGCGCTGATCTGTAACGGTCTACAAAAAAATAATATCCATATAAACGAGCACAGCTATAATTAAAAGAAGAGAGAGAGAGGGACAAACTATTACGGTTAATTATGGTCTCTGCTGCGGTTGGTACAATTAACTAGCGCAGCGCTGCGATTCCAGATGAGCGATAAAATCTTAAAACATTATTTGTTTTTGTAATTTCACTGTATTTAATTGCACTAAATACTTATTTATACTCATTCCTTTTACATGTATAACAATTATGAGCAATTAGCAAATATTTAATATCTAATTAGTGTACTTCGAAGCATTTGCATTTCCAATTGGAGACCATAAAAATTATAACTGGCAAAAACCAAATTGCAAGCGAAGCCAAAATGCAGTTTCCAGTTAGAAGTTGGAACATGGCATTGTCATGGCAACAACAACAAAAACAACAACAATAGAATAATAGCAAGGGCGTGCAAACAAAACGCACGGCTGACTGAGCCAACAACAAAAGTACGAAAGCACAAAGAGCAGACAGAACAACAGCAAATCTCTCTCTCTCTCTCTCTCTCTCTCTCTTTATCTGACATTTCTGTACCTCGACTCTCGCTCTCTCTCTGTTAATGATGCTGAGCAAGTTCAACCAGCTGCTTCAACTACAACAACAACAACAACACTAGCAGACAGCGCAACGTTGTCACGTTAAACGATTGAATTAAATTAAGGCAAATTCGCACAATAAATTTAATACACAGCACTTAGAGGCGAAGCGAACAAGAAATTCTAAAAATAAAACTTTTGATAAGCCGGCCGAATGTGACGTTAGTCGCAGTGTCGCAGCGGCGCCGACGCAATAAGCTAAAAATAACGCAAAAACCTGCGACTGCGTGTCTAAAGAGAGCATGATGCAGGGGGGAGGGAGGAGGACTAGAGTCTACTGGGCAGCACTTGTGTCCGCAAGCCAAAAATGAGTATCGAGTACATTGTGTATAGAGGCATGCACTCATACATACTCATACAAACATTTGAAAAGTAGAGCGCGCCAGTATTTACCGTTGTTGTGAAAAGCTAAAAGCGGTTGACATGACATGCTGAAAACTAAAACTGAACGAAAACTAAGCAGCTGCATCGTCATTTGCTTTTATCAGCTTTTCACACAGAAATTAACACCAAGCAGATAAACAGAAACAAAGTCTGTACTCAAACGGAGGAGGATCTTGTGCTCATTTTTCATGTACACACAAAATTATCAGTTGGGTAAATTGTTTACCATTTACTGAATGCAATTCATTTGTTGGACTTGTGTACTTACGAGTGCGGTTTAAATTGTTTTGCAATGATTTATAAACTTTTGTCAATTACTCGATATCACTGTAGCGTCACGCCGGTGATTCAATCGACTCACCAGTCGGTCGATTGGAGCGAAACAAATTATGTACAGCCGCAGCGGTACATTTGAACACGCATTGGTGAGCTTTTTTTCACTGGCACTAACACAGACGCAGCAACAATAACAAAACGCGGCGGAAACGCAATGCAAGCCGAAAACAAAAGCTCAGCTTAACACTAACAACTGTGACGCGACGCGACGCAGCAGCCAGAACTTTAATTTACCAACATGAACCGACGTCGAGCAGCGCAGACAAAAGACTGAGCTGAAGTTGCGCCAATGCCGAAGCCGAAGCCACAGCCACAAGAGACGAACGATAACAATCGAGTGCGAGTGCGAGTGCGAGTGCGACTGCGAGTGCTCGAGCTGCTCTCCGCTTCGAGCATGTGGTGAATGCGGGTGTGTGGGCGGGCGGGTGTTGTTGTAAGTGCAGTGCGGGAGAGCAGCAAGAAACAATTGCTTAAAAGGGAAAGGATCGCGGTTAGTCAAAAATTGTAATGCGAACTTGTCAATGTCATGCGAGAGCGCCAGCAAAAGACTACCAAAAGAAAGAGAGACAGAGAGAGAGACGGGTAGAGCGTAAATCAAATTCTTTAATGAGAGCTTTATGCAGCTCCAATTGCTGAAGTAATTTCTAACATTTGCAGACCAATGTCACAGAGACATTAACATTGATGAGCTCAAATTGAATATATCTGTCCGACTGGATTCTAGTGCTAATAAGGTGGTTGGCAATGCGGGTACCGTTAGACGCCAATGGCTGGCTGGACGGATAGATTATTGGCTCGATGGACGCGGAAATGTGAATAGCGATAGAAAATTGCTTTATGCACCGTTTTCACGTTTGCTCCAAATGCCAATGTTGGTTCTCTTGGTGGTTCTCTAGCCAACCAATCAGCAGTCAGCAGTCCGCAGTCCGCATCCGCAAGTTCAATGCCATTCTACGACTGCAGTCAACAGCACTTAAACGACTACTAGTATTTACTGAAGTTAACTGAAATTTGGAATGCAAGTTGTAAGATAAACATAAACAAGGCGCGTGGCAGCTATAAATGCAAAGCACACCCACACACACAAACACACACTCACATATTTATGGCGTAGGATGTAAAAAGACTGCAGAGTTTTGCGCAGGCGAAAAGAGCAGGCAGAATGTTAAAGCTTTGCGCAAATTTAAGTTTGACCTGCGAGGGATTGCATTCAATCGATAGATTGCAATAGACTAACGAACAGGTGTAGTCTCAATCAAAGAGGGGGCAGAGAAGAAGATAATAATAATAATTGACTGATCGGAGCTTTTTGGGATTTCAGCTCGTTGAGTATATTCCTCGCAAAAGTGAATTATTTTTTAACTTACCCGAGTATCCCCTTCATATTGTTTAATTTAGCACATGACTCACCTGCAAAGAAACAGAAAAGGTAAGACAACAAATTAGAAGCATATTTGTTTTAAGCATGTAAATAAATTAAGTCTTAACACAAAATGTCACTTAAAAATGTCGCAGCAAATAAAACCAAATCAAATTCAAGCCTTTTAGCAAGTCAATGTCGAGAAAAACGGCAAACAAAATTAACTAATTAATTAGAGCAGCAGCAGCAGCGCTGATAAGAGCCAAAGGCAAAACAAAAGCAAAGTGAATAAAAAGGGCTCGCTGTAACGGAAACTTTAGCAAAAACTAACTTCAAAGCTCTGCCCGTCACTCAAAAGATGCACGACTGAAGGGAGGGCGGGCGGTGCGGCGAGAGCGGCGAGTGTTCAGAGCGAGGAAGAGAAACGTTTTTATGTGCGTGTGTTGGCGCGTAGGGTATTTAATCGTCTCTTTTGCGGTTCTGACTTATGAGACCTGACAAAGCAGCTACATTTAGCAGGTTTCTGTGTTTGAATGCTCGTTCGCAAAAAAAAAAGATTTTTAATATCAAAGCGGACTTCTGCGTAGTTTTTCCGTTCTTATATTTAAGGATTGAGCTACTTCTGCATCACCTTGTCCGAAACTCGGGCGATTTCCATATTGAACAGGGTCGTTACGAGCTTTATAACGTTGACAACCTCTTTCGGCTAATACACTTTGCATATCAAAAAGTCATCTGGGTTTTCATGTCACATGCAAATTGCGAAAAACCGGCGAAAACTTTTATATAACCATTTAAGCACGAGCCAAAAACTTTGAGCCCTGCGACGGTTCGGCGAATGTAATTATGCAGATTTATTGCGCATCAAAAAGCCTTGTTTGTTGCAGTAAGAAGAAGGAAAGGTAACAACAACCTGTTTGTGGGCGCTTACCTCAGTAGGGATTTCCTCAACAAAAACAACTTGCGCTGGACAAATGCTGCGATCAGGTGACAACTGGACTTTCGACATTTACTATTTGGTTCTTGGACTTTGAAATTTCCATACAAAGTGATGCGAAAAAAAATTGTCCGACGTTTTCTATTGTGTGTGTGTGTGTGTGTTTTCTTTTTTTTTTTGTTTGTGTTTGTGTGTGTGTGCGGCAAGCAACAAGAAACGTTCAACAATTGTCGGGATAGGGAAATTTGATAAAAGACTGAGTCTATTTAAAGCAAATTTTGAAACTCGAACCGTTGGCCTACTCGATCAGAATGATTATCCCATTTGTCAGGTGTTCGCCAGCACCAATCTAACCTATCTTTGGGGTATTCATATTGTTTCTCCGCAGGCAACGGGCGACGGATTAACGAGACGAAGAGTGCGCAATGCGCCCCCCCCTCCCCCTTCCGGATGCAGCGACGCCAACGCTAGCGGCGACGGCGACGCCGACGTTGTTTGCGGCCTACGTATTGCAGTCAAAAGAACCAAAGCAAAACGAACGATCAAAAAGTAAACAAAATTAACAGGCACTGATCGAATACGAAATACCACGCAATAGAATTTTTCGAATATATATCACACTTGAAAAATTGTTTTAAAATATAAATGGATCAATTCTATATAATGGCATTTACTATACAGTGACATTAGAAATTTAGATTATTAGAGACAGTGATCGAATTTGAATTACCCTTTAAAAAAATAAAGAATTTTATAAATAAATAAATATTTTATAAAAAAATAAATACAATAGCATTTAGAGTATTAGAGAACTGGTTTTTTGCTATTTGTTAAAAATTGATCACACATGAAATACCCCGCACGACACAACTTTTTGCTTTTACAGTAGTAAACCCCATTCGTTCGACGCTTATACAGGGTATTTACATGCAAACAGTATTTGTTGTCAGTTGCCTCTTGCCAGCATTCAGTCAATCAGCCACTCAGTCAATCAGTCAGTCAGTCAGTCAGACGAATTTACTGTCTCTATGTCCCTGTCTGCCTCCTTCTCCCACTTCTCCCCCCTTCTCAGTTAATGGCCGCAGCAGAAACCACCAAACAATCAGTTGGCAATTTTCTTTTATAACCAAATGAATGTTGAAATACTTTAACTGTTATTTCGTGCATACGTGCATATAACCGTTATAATACGGTTAAAAGGCAACGCTCTGACAGGGACCAGAGCAGTGGAAGCGCGGGGAGAGGGGAGCGGGGAAGCGTATGGAAACACAATTATGTTGGATCACTCACGTTTGCGAAGGATACGCAGAGAAACATAAACCAAAAGCAGCCACAGGTAAATGGCAAAGTGTGTACTCACGTATGCGTGGGTGTCGAATTTGTTGTGTGCGTGTGTGTGTTTGTGTGTGTGTGCGTGGTGTTTGCTGCTGTCAGAACGGATCCACAATTGGATATAGCGAAAAAATGAATCGCGTTTTTCGAAAGTATCACAATTAAGATGAGGTTATATTCGTGAGAGAACAGAAGATGAAATACCCTGGCGAACTATTCCTGGACTCTTACTAGTATTTAACATACGATATATTTGACATTAATGTTACGTAACACTGATATCGATGACATATCGATAGACAGCTGTTAACAGGGGAGAAACACTGAAACTGAATAAATTCAATTGTAGGTGGTTCACAATAATATGTGTTAGCTGGATGCTGATAAAGCTTTTACAACCATGTCGACTGATATCGATCAGGAATATACCAAATTGACTGGCTCTTTACACATTTAATGACAAATTTTAACTAGGCTCTATTTGGGCACTGAAAAAATGAGTTTTTGCGATTATTGAATCAATATATTCCAAGAAATAGCTCATTTTGCATTCAACGCAATTTCCAGACGAAAACTTCACTTGTCATACTCGTTAGGGAGAGGAAACTGAACTTCAGAGCACATTTAACTACTCAAAGGGATAGATAGACACTAAGCCTGGGCCACACAATGACTTGGAACTCTTGGAACTACCGAAAAACCACTCACAAATTCAAGTAAATGTAAATACGTAAGCTCCCATGGAGAAGAAGTAGAAGAAGAAGAAGCAGAGGATGGCGACTCTCCAAAAAGTGGCAACAACAAATGCAGCAGGACAAGAATGAAGCTTAACAAAAAATGCGTTAAAAGCTGCTGCTGTTGCTGGTGCGTTGAACTTGGCCAACAACAGGGGAGAGGGGAAGAGGGGAAGAGGGCTGTAGGCGTGGCGCCTTTATAAATGCCACTTAAGTGAAATGAATGGCAAGAAAAATTAGCCAACTAACGAATTTTTTTGACAAACAACCTGAGCTGAGCAAAATTAAATATGTACTTGACAAAGCGCAAAACTATTTTTGGCAGTAAAAAAAGGCGTTAATACGCGCAACAAACTATTTCAGCCAGACCTGAACTTAACCTGGTTTATGTACATTCCGGCAAATGTATTTAAAATAACTGTTGCCTGAAATGTTTATATATATAAATACTATATATATACTGATAAGCATATATGTATGTACACTCACGCCAAATTTTTGCACCTTTTTTTCGCTATTTTGCTTTGAGTAATTTATTGAAGTTGTTTTGCGTTTGTCTTGTCTGCACTTTTGTTTTTAAATTTTTCGCTAATTTTTCTGATGGAAAACTACGAGAACGAAACGATCCGCCGACGCGCGTACACTGCGAACTGCTGGATATCCCTGTGCGTACTGCGCGAGATGTGGCCAGATTCAGACTGGGGCCAAAGCACAGGCAACACCCAGCGCTGAGCAACACTCGCCACCAGTTGGAGCTGGAGCTGGAGCACGGGCAACAGCTGATATTAGCAGTAGCCGGTTTTTCTATTTTTCAACTTACAGTCAGCGGCGAATTGGCAACTCGCCCTAACTGCTTCTCTCTGTGAAACTCGTGTGAGTTGTGCACTGAGAAAAATCAGGTAAATTTGTTGCGAAATTTAATTTGAAACGCGCTTAACTTTACTTGAGATAAATATAAGCTTGGATTGATTAAATCATTTATTTATAAAAATAACTAGATTTTTGCTATTCGCTTATCGGTATTATATTGTGATTCTGGCAATGCTGTCAAAAACTCGCTTGCCATTCTCTCTTGCTCTCTTTGGCCCTTTGCATTCGCTCGCGCTCTCCGTGCCTTGCGAATTCGCCGCGACCACTATACCAAGCGAACCGTTACAACAACAAAACGGCTGCAACCCTTAGAATTGGGGCCAGTGGCATTTTGTTTGTACCTGCGCAGTGCGAGCTCCCCCCCTCCCTCCCTCCCTCTCTTTCTCTCTCTCTCTCTCCCACCCACAAATATAAACGATTTACACGCGTTTCGCTTGCAACGGCGACCACAGCACTATGAACGGCTACAAATATGTTTGCGTGGCATGCAACCAATTCTCGAGAAGGGGAGTGGGAGGGGGAAGAGGTTTTACCGCAAACGAGCGGCGCAACAGTAGCCAAAGCCAAAGAGAGCGGCCCACACTTGACCGCACGACTGTAGGCAGCATTTGATACACTCTATGTTGGTATGTGTAACAATGCGTGTGCGTGTATGTGTGTGTGTGTGTGCGTATGAGTAATTTGTGGTGAAAACTAGGCGAAGGCGCATTGTGTCTGCTTTGGCTGTGATAATTATTATCACTGAAAGGATATTTCGACTCGCGCATAATTAGAAGCGAGTTGTGCAACAGCTACAAAACGCCCACTTGGACACGCCCACAATGTATGGCAATAGCTACAAATAAAACTTGGGCGAGGGGCAATTTTAACTAGTTCTCGCGAAAATATGACACTGTTATATACCCTGTAAATAGGTCTAAGATGGTATTGAAAGCTATTTTTGCTCTGACTGGGATAAGATCTTTGACAATTGATATAACTTTTCCACAAAAGTCTTTAATTCGATCAATTGGTAAATAGATAGAAGTTGGCTTCCCATGGTAGCTTACATAATTTGAAGGGAAAACAACTTGGTATTAAAATTATAATACCCTCTGAGCTGAGCTGAAAAGCAGAGCCTGCTTGTCTTTTCCGGTTGTTGTAGGCTGCCAAGGAGCCTTATTTATGACAGCAGGCGAATTGCGGTCGTGTCGAGAGCCCCAGCTGGGCATGCTTAGGGGATGGCATATGGCATATGGCATATCGCATATGGTAGAGGGACTTAAACAAATTAGATTTGTGACATTTTTATTGCTATTTAGTTTTGCCAGCTGGGTTCACGGCAGGTGAATGAACTTTCGTTTGGGTCACAGATTAAAGGCAAAACAAATAGCATGCCTTAAAGTTTCCATTATATTGAGTTAAGAGTGTGTTCCAATTGGATTGGAGCCATAATAACTTGAAGCAGCCCCAAAAATATTGAGAGCACAACTTTTCCACTAAGTGGCTTTCATTAGCTATCGAAATTTGTTGTAGACCAAGAAAAGGTCACAAGGAGCGACCTGCAGTTGAATGTCCTTTTTATGTCAAGTCAACAGACGACAACAACAATTGGGGGTGAGGCGCCCCACAATGTGGCAAGACTTTCGATTTTTGTTGCTTTTGTTGCTGACGACTTTTTTGTGCTCGTTTCTATGGGATTTTCGTCTGGCGTGGGAAATTTGTTTTGTAAACAAGGATTACACATATTGTGAATACACATCCTTATACACATCGTATAAGGATATCCCAACCTTACATTTAATAGTCGTTTGTCCGAATTTTCTAAACTTAATAATTTCAAAATTTCACCCTATAAAATAACGTAAATCATAGTCGTTTGTCCGAATTTCCTAAACTTAATAATTTCAAAATTTCACCCTAGAAAATAACGTAAATCAAAACTAATTTTAAAATAGCTTATAATATAGCTTTGCTTATTTTAATAAATAGCAAACACTATCCAACAAAATATTGGTTAAATTCTATATCAGCTTAGCTGAGTTTCTAACCAATACATATGTAGTAAATTTCCCAACCTATTTAAAAAGCTTTCGAATTCGAGAGCAAACAAAAGTTTCAGTCAAGACGCAAACCCCAAAAGTGAGATTCACATTTTTCTAAATATTTAAAAATTGTATCTGATTAAAAAATATCTGAAAAATTATGAATTTAGATAAACATTTGTTAATTGTATTTACAATAATTAAGTTTTGGCTTTTGGCAGCGGCATTTTAGCAACAAATACGTTAAAGAGACACAAAACTTGTTTACTTTTTTTTATTAGTCAAATAATTTTGGCAATAAGCTGGAAAAAGGAGCGGATTATTATTACAGATCTTTAATTAATGCAGATAAAATTAAATAAAACGCACAACTAAGCAATAAAAATGAAAATAAAAACAAAACAATAAAACAAAACATGGACAATAATTTTTCACGGTTTCCGTTTCGTAAATAACATTTTATTATTAATATTTATGTGTTGGCGTTCGTCCGTTTTTGTTTTTATCAAATTTAACATGTATAGAAAAAATTAAAGCAAAAAAAACTTCTACTTATATAAACGTAAGGAAAATCGTTATTAGCATCATAATTATATGAAAAACTTAGACTATTAAATTTTGAGCTGAAAATATACAAAGAGATTTTGGAAATATTTCATGATTAGTCAATATATGAATATAAAATTTGTTTTTTGTTCGTCGATTTCTTTTTTGATCGTGTGCTTAGAAAATATTTATATATTAATTATAAAATAGAACATAATAAAGCAGACATTTAAAAAATCATTGGCACAAGTTGCAGTCAAATTAACAATTAAAAAAATATGCATTAGGTAAATCGAACGAAAATTAGTTTTTAGTTAGTTTTCGGATGTGGATGAAATGCATTTGCACAGTGGTTCTTAAGCCATAAATATACAACTAAATTATAATATATATAAATAAGAATACTTTTGGGCTATATATAAAAAAATAATCTAACGTTTCGATATACATTAATAAAATGATTCATTTGCCGCGGCAGAAAAAAATGAATAAATAATTTGTGTTTTCTGTTGAACAACAATAACAAGAACAACAAACAACTACAAACACAACAAGTTGTGCAATAACAACTAATGTGTGTGTGTGTGTGTGTGCTCAGGTGAGCGCAATTGCCACAATGATAATCACACCAATTACGATCAGGCACAATGTGAGCAAATCATTGGGCGTAATCAGGCCCACGGTGCAGGCAACAAATACGTGCTCGAGTGTCGTCAAACCGCCTCGCGTCACGCCGCCGAGCCCCGCCCCCGCCCCCGCGCCTGCTGCCGCAGCTGGTCGCACATCGCGGACCTCGCCAAAAACGGAGAGCGCTTTCGAGCTGGTCGTTGGCCGTTCGTCTGTCAACGCCGGAAGTCCTTGGCGACGGCGCGTCTCAATTTCATTGGCTTCGCCGTCGACGTCGCTGTCGCTGCCGCTGCCTCTGCTGCTGCTGTGCCGCTCATTACGTGTTATAGTATCCTTAATTGGCATATCATCGCCCTCTCCCTCTTCCTCTCTCTCTTTCTTGACAACTGTTGTTTCACTCTCCTCTTGCTCTGCTTTGGTATCGTAATTGAGTCTCACCTCGGAAATGCTCAGGTTTATTTGCGGAGTCTCGTAAACGATGCTCTTTTTGCGCTGAACTAGTTCACATTCGGCAAGTTCATTAAATGCTCTCTCGTCAATTTTGATTTCTTCGAGCAAAGCTTCGTCCAGAGCAATTGACACTAAATCATTTTCGTCAAGTTCGTTTTCATCGCAACTACTGTCGTTAACTTCTTTTATAAGAGATTCACTCGTTAGGTCATAAACTGCCTGGCTTAACGCGGGCGTTTCGTCAAGTTTTTGTTCAGCATTAAGTTCACTTGCAATCTTCGATCTATTCTCGGCTTCGTTAAGAGCCGCCTCTTGCAGCTCGTCCAGAGCAATTGACACTAAATCATTTTCATCGAAACTACTGTCGTTAAGTTCTTTTATAAGAGATTCATTCGTTAGGTCATAAACTGCCTGGCTTAACGCGGGCGTTTCGTCAAGTTTTTGCTCAGCATTAAGTTCACTTGCAATCTTCGATCTATTCTCGGTTTCGTTAAGTGCCGCCTCCTCACGCAAGCTCTCGAACTGCTCTTGCAGCTCGTCCAGAGCAATTGACACTAAATCATTTTCATCGCAACTACTGTCGTTAAGTTCTTTTATAAGAGATTCACTCGCTAGGTCATAAACTGCCTTGCTTAACGCGGGCGTTTCGTCAAGTTTTTGCTCAACATTTAGTTCAATTGGAATCTCGGTTTCGTTAAGTGCCGCCTCCTCACGCAAGCTCTCGAGCAGCTCCTCCTCTGTGGGCAAACGTGGAAACTCTTCAGCCTCCTGCTTAGCCCCATCGCACATGGTATCGCTGTCATCGTCTGTACTTATCGAAACCTCGGATACGTAGTGCTCCCTAACCTCAAAGCGACTATTGTAGCTGGTTTGCAGCTCAAGCGAGGCATTCGCATGGGCTGCAAGCGGAAAATCAGCTAGACTGGCGTTACCCGAGTCCGGATTGGACGATGTTTCCTCCAACTCCGAACTTAACGAATCAAACTGGGTGATAGGGGGCGCCACCTCGGGCCTATCCATTACAATGTCTATTTTGCTGGCATAGATCCGATTGAAATTGGGCGAAAGCTTTAGGCACGTCTCTGTTTGTGTCTGCTCGTGCTCCAGCTCCAGTTCCAGTTCCGGAATGGTGGCTAACTTATAACTATGACTACAAGAGTTACTAGCACTGTCATTAGTGGTTATGGATGCGGATGGGCGGCAGGTGGCGCTGCTGTTGGTAGTATTAACATCGAATTGAGGTTCAAGTTTGGGATCAACAACATTCAAAACTGGATTAGTATTGGCGGTAGCTTGGAGGAGCGTAGCGCGAGCAGAGCGGGGATTAGTAGCGGCATCTGAGGAGCTCGTCTCTTCGACTTGTGCTTGGGCGGGGGCAACGCCTTTACCTGTTGGATTAACCGGCGGCGGCTGCTTCGCTGGCTTCTCCTCGATGCCAAAGATGGCGGCCAGCTCCTCGCTCGAATTGTACTGCGAGGGCGACGATTGCACCGGCGTCAATTGCAACGGAGGCGACGAGGCGGCGGATGACGACGACGTGGTTTGATTTTCGCTTGTGTTGTTGTTGGTTGTGCTTGTGGTTGTGGTGCTGATTGTGGTGTTATTGGGCGTCGTTTCCGCATCGTAGGACGTGGTGCTGAATGTCTTGATGGGATCGGTGCTGGGTGCATGATAATCGCTGCTCTGCGACTTGATGTAGTCGCTCGAGGAGTACGGATTAAATGACGTTATGCTCGATGACATCGGCCGGCTGGCGTTCGACGGGCTCCCAGATGACTTGGCCAGGCAATCGCTGCTGGAGCTGAACGAGGATGCGGTGGTGCTTACGTTGGTTGCCTGCTGACTGCCACGCCCACATCCGCTGCCGCTGCTCATGCTGGGCGCCGTGGTGCGCTGATCATCCGTGCCGGATGCAGTTGTTGTTGTTGTTGTTGTTGTCCTGCTGCAGCTACTCCGCGCCTGACGCTCGCACTCCTGCATAATGCGATCGATATCGTCGAGCGTTTGGGACTTGGCCTGCGCCCGTGTCCGGGCCTCTGCAATGGGACAAATGAGAGTGGCATCAGCGTGGACTCCAGTGCCAGCTCCAGCTGTGCTCATATTACACGCGGCCAGATTGTCGTAGTCCGGCGAGAGCTCCAACTCCGGCTTCGGCTCCGGCTCGGGCTCCGGCTCGGCCAGTTCGCTGAGCTGTCGCATGCAGCGCTTGGCAATCGCCTCGATCTTGTCCGACTGTATGGGATCCAGTTTCCGGATGAGATGCGGCATCACCAACTGCTGCTCCTGTTTCACCTGCCGCGCCTCGTGCACAATTACGGGCGGTTCGGTGGTAACAATATCCTTGAGGATCTTCTCGCAAACCGCATTCGCCGCCTCGGACACCTCATCGATGGCGCGTATCAGTTTGCCCTCCTTCTGCAGTTTTCGCTGCTGCGGCTGCTCCGTATCCGGCTGATCGTGGTCGGGCAGCGTATCGAGGAGCAGCTGGCCACAGCGCTTGGCCGCCTCGGAGACGGCCTCGATCTGTTGCAGCTCGTGCTCGAGTTTTTGCTGCTCCGGGTTTAGCTTGGGCAGCCGGGCAGCCGTAATGAGCGCCTCCTTGCGCAGCTCGTCCAGCTCTTGGGTCAGCTTGATGCTGCTCGCCTGCGCATCCTGCGCAATCTTGTTCAGCGCATCCTCCAGCATTGGCTCGGGCGTCAGGCTCTTCCTAGGCGCTGGCACTGGCGGCAACTTGGTCGTCTCCTCCACGTGGCCCAGTCGCTCCGGCAGCTGTGCTATGGCGCCGCCCTGACTCGGATGCCTGAAGGGTATGTGCGGCTTCCTGTTGAGCTCCTCGTCCTGAGCCTTGAGTTTGCGCAGCAGATCCAAGGTGCCCGGTATATCGCTCGTGTCACTCGCCTCCGTCACGCCCAGATTCGACATGGAGCCGGCGCGTTCAATGCTGCGGGACAGTTCGATATAACTGCTCAGATCTCCGCCGGAAGGCTTCGCTGCGGCACGCTGGATCAGATTGTAGATGTTGGCGGATTGGGTTCGCGTCGCCCGCTGTTTTTTCTGCATGGGATACATAAAGCTGGACTTGGGCCCGGGCGGATCTTTGCGCAATGCACGCACCGCCAAATCATCCTTGACAATGTCCGGTGAACCGTTCTGCTGCTGCTGCTTCTTCTTCTGGCTGACCGACTCCACGTGCAGATAGTCGCTCTGCGGCGCCGGCACAATCGGTCCGACGGGTATCCCAAAGGGCGGCTGCCTGTCCGCGGCGCGATACTGCAAATTGGCCAGCTGCAGATTGCGATAGGCGACATCGTCGCGCACCAAATCCGGCTCACCCGTCGGCGAGTCCTCGTCCTCGTAGTCATCGGCATGGGCCAAGGCGAATTTCTCAAAGTCACTCGGCGTGGGCAGACGCGGCTTAGACTCCGACTTGGTCTCCGACTTGGTCTCCGACTTGAGCTCCGACTTGGTCTCCGACTTGGGTTCGGTGAGGCCGAGCGACTTGTAAATGGCCTCCAGCTCGTTGATGGCCTCCTCCAGATTGGCGGGCTTCTTGCGTGGAAAATAGATGGGCGCTATGGCTGGTGCGCTGCCCTTGCGTTCGGCAAAGATGGGCGCCGGCGCCTGCTGATGCTGTTCCCGCTTCTCGGCCACATACTCCTCGTACTTGTTGGGCAAATCCTCGCCGGAACGACGCTGGTAATGATGCGGCATCGAGTTGGTCTTGTGCACATCCCGATGTCGTATCTCCACATAGTTCTGGCTGCCATGCTCGCCGGGCTTGATGTGCAAACTGCCGCAGATGACGTTGTCCGACTCCGGAGCGGGAACGGCAGCGGGAACGGGAGCGGCAGCGGGAGCGGGAGCTGCTCGCTTGGGCTTCTGCACCTCAGAGTACATGGGCATGGGATAGCTGCGCAGCTCGCTGATTCTCGAACTGGAAATAGAGCGCGGCTTAACCAGGGGCTGCCCCTGCTGTTGCTGTGATCTCTGCTGCTCCCAGGCCTCGCTGGAGGTCGGCAGTCCGCTCTTCGAGGTGCGCAAAACGCCGCTGGACGCCGGCAGGCCGGTCTTTGACTCACGCAGTCCGCCGTTCGGGTCCAGCATGTGGATGGGCTTCCTGGAGCGCGGCGTCGCATCGGCCACATAGTGGAAGTCGATGCCATTGGGCAGCGACTTCTTGCCCGGCAGAGCGTTCCGCTCCGAGCGGGTAATAAAGCGACGATGATGCGACGGCTGCTCGGTGACCGGAGCACTGGCTATTGATCCTCCGCCTCCGCCTGGCTGTGAATTGAGCGAGTGCACGGATTGGTAATGCGGTGGCTGCCACATCCGATCGTCGGACACGCAGCGTCCGCCCTGATCGAAGGCATAGGAGACGGGACGCAAATCGCTGGAACTGTAGCCGGCATGGACGCGCCGCAACGGATCTCTCGGCGGCGGCGGCGGCGGCAGCAGCACGGGCTTCGTCTGCATCCGTCCATTAACGTTCTGCAAATGCATTTGGCTATCGTAGCTGATGCTGCGCTTCGCATCGTTCTGCATGGAGTTCTGCAAGGGACGCGCCTGCGGCTGCCATTGCACATAGCCGGAGACATAGCTGGCGGGTGCTGCATCCGGAGCCGCCGGAGCCGCCGCCTGGTAGATGGACAAGGGCAGCGGCTGCGTCTTATAGCGCTGCGTGGGCACCATCACCTGCTGCTGTTGCTGGACAGGCACACCGCCATGGCTCACCTCGCCGTCGCGGGACAATCTTTTGTAGTAGCGTTCGTTGCGGGCGGCGCGACTGCGTCGACTCTGGCCGGATGCGCCGTATCCCTGTATGCTCTCGTCGCTGCGATACTTGGAGAAGGTGGAGGAATTCAGCGATATGATCTCCTCCTCGCTGGAGTGGCCCGGCACCTTGCCGCGTTGACCGGAGCGGGATTTGTGGGGCGGCGCCGGCGGCTGCTGCGACAGATAGAGCCGGCGATCCAGGGAGTTGCTGGAGCGGCTGTAGTAGCCGGGCTGGTTCTGATAGTATGGCTCTGGCGGCACCATCTCCACGGGCAGAAAGAACTCGTTGTCTATGTGCTGCGGCTGCGACTGCGATTGGGCTGCCGGCATCACGATGTGATCGAAGTTGGGCGCCTTGTTGCTCCGTCCGGACTTGGCTGGATGTTTGGCTTTGGGCTTCGTTGAGCTCTGGCGCTGGGCGGGCACAAAGCCCGCCTTGCGGTCCTCCTCGCTGGAACTGGCGCTGGCGCAATCCGCCGCCGCATCCTTCTTTTTGCGAAAGAGTCGTCCAAAGGACCATTTCTGTTTATGCGACAGCTGCTGTGAGGATCCGGATCCGCTCATGCGCAGACGCTCCATCTCCAATTCGTCGTTGTTGTCGGTTGTTGTTGTGTTTATTGTTGTTGTTGTTGTTGCTTGGTTTGTGGCTTTCGTGTCGTCGTCTTTGGGCAGCGGCAACTGGGGACGCCAACTTGTTTGAACAGTCTACAGAGAGAGAGGGGAAGAGAGAGAGAGAGATATAAATTAGTTACAGTCAATAGCCGGCTAAATCAAGATAAGTTTTATTTAAACATTTGTTTTATTTGCACTTAATGGGCCTACAGAGTTGATGTGTTGCCTGTTTAGACAAACGATAAGATTTCATTTAACTTGACTTAACTTAATATTAACTTGGCTCAAAGAGCCGGAGATAAGCAGAGCCCAACCCAGCTAAGCCCCGTCTTGATGTCTTTGCTTGGGTTTTAAATGCCTTAACATATATATTAATGTCATACACTGGCAGAAAAACTGTACAACATTTGTTTTTAAAAGCTGTTCGAGTCTGGGGCATTTAAAAGGGTTGCAAATCTTGACATATTTGTTGTTTTTTAAATATCTTCAAATTATACAAATGCTATGCACTTAGAGAAAACCCTTATTTAATTTAAATGAGTATTTAAACAGAAAGATTTATATGCCTTTTCATCTATATTTGTGTCATACACTGGCAGAAAAACTTCACAGCATTTGCTTTTATTTAAAAGCTTTTCGGGTGTGCGGCGTTTTTAATAGGATTTCTAAAACCCAACCCAGAAATATTATTTATTGTTTTTTAAATAATTTCAAGTAAACAAATGGTATACACTAAAAGAAAAACCTTATTTAATTTACAAGCATATACAAACCGAAAGATTTAAATGCCTGTATATTTAAATTATGTCATACACTGGCAGAAAAACTATACAGCATTTGCTTTTATTTAAAAGCTTTTCGACTCTCTGTCTATCTTGAAATATTTGTTTATTTCTAAATACCTTTTAATATAAATATGCTATGCACTCAGAGAAAATATGTGTTAATTAAATTTACAAGCGTATTCAAACAGAAAGATTTGCTGTTTCTTGTTTTATTTTTAATGGACGTGAGTTGACATGACAACAATACAGATTACTTTTTCCGAGCTGAGACTGAGATTTGCCGTGCACTTGGCGCACTTTTTCTTGCAACTTTTTCTTTATCGATCTAGAAGAAAATTAGCATACAGCTCCCACGCCAGAAGAGAAGTCTTCGAAAGAAGAAGAAGAAGAAAAGTCTGTGTCGAGCGGAAGTAGCTAATTATCATACAATTCAGATACTTAGCATAATACTAATTGCTTTAGCAGAACCTAAAAGCGAAGCGTTGTAAAGATAGCAAAATGTTTTATCAATCAAGATAAGGAAAATTGTTGTATAACAAGTTCTTAAAACATTAAACAATGAGAGCTGCTGAACTTGATAGGCATAAATTCAATCTAATCTCAAGTTGAGAAGAAAAAAAAACTACTCAGTCTCAATTATTCTTTCATATGATTCTCATATGCGAATCATATACAAAAATAAACGAAATTGCGTGTGAAATTCAATTTCTTTTTGGTGTTGTGTTAATTATTTGTTTAATTTGGGATTTTTGTTTATAGTAGAAAAAAGCTCTAAAATTGGGCGTGGGATTCATATGTATATATGAGACATCATTTCCGCTGCTGACGATCTTTAAACATATATATAAAGCAGACGATGCAAAAGGGGCAACAGTTGTCTTATTCATAAGACACATCGTCGAAGGGCTCATTAAAAGCAAATAAACAAGTGCCAAATGTAAACATGATGTGGAATAAGGGTGGAATACGATACAATTTCGATAAAGTAAAAGGCTTTAGGCTGAAATTAAAGTCCTCATTGAGATGCACTGAGCGAAATCCAGAATGTTTGACAATTTTATGATCCACTTTAAGTGGGATCTGCGGAAAAGTCGCGTTAAACCATAAACTATTTCAACACGTGTTGTTTTGGTTACATTCGAAATGATTTATGGACGAAACTTGATTCTAAAAACCACATAAAAGTCGTAACAACTACGTGACTCAGTTGAAAGACAAATATTATATTTTTTGTATATTTATGTAAAATGTAGTAGAAGAGAAAAATTGAAAAATTTATGGCGTCGCAAAGCAGCTGCGTAATGTCGGGCAGATTGCCAAGGCACAAATCACTCATACGCACTGTGTGCAACGCGTGTCTATGGCGCAAGCTAAGCAAACACACAATAGAAACACGCACACACCACACACACAACACACACTACACACACCATTCACACACATCGAGTGTGAGTAGGGTAACTAAAAATAAGCACGCAAAACTTAAGCCGCAAAATTGTACAATTTCTTTTGTACAATTTTTGCTTCAGCCCGAAAAAAAGCGAATTAGATTCCCAATCGAAATGCCAAATCTGAATTGAAGCTCAACACACAACACAACAAAAACGGCAACATTTGCGCAAAATGTATAAATAAATATATGTTTCAAGTGGCAAGCAGCAAAATTTACGCGCGATTCTAAATTATATTGGAAATGGAATCCGAAAGCGTTCTGGGCCGAACACACGCGTCCACTCGACTGATAGGACAGGAAAAACTGTTCACAAATGCGGCCGAAAGCTTTCCGACTGAAGCTCTTCCCAACTGCAAAGAGAGCAGAGAGTGTGTGTTGGTTAAGAGAGCGCGAGAGAGTTGCGTGAGATCAGAAAATTTACGCGCGATTCTAAACTATATAGAAATGGAATCCATAAGCGTTCTGGGCCGAACAAACGCGTCCAACTCGACTGATAGGACAGGAAAAACTGTTCACAATCTCGACGATCAGAAAGCTTTCCGACTGAAGCTCTTCCCAACTACAAAGAGAGCAGAGTGTGTGAGAGCGCGAGAGAGTTACGAGAGAGATCTCCGGGGAGCAGCATCATTTCAATTAAGTAAATAGTAACTAAATCTTAATGATTTTCGATTTCGTTTTAAGATCAATTTGGGCAAGTCAACGAACTGCTCCGAAAGTGTTACGTGGCCCCAGAGGCTTTTTAATTAACGCACAAATTGAGAGCACAAAATGTTCGTGTGGAAAAGTTCTCTGCCCACCAAACCACCCACCCACCACCCACTCATATATATGGGAAAGTCAATGTAGATCGGAAAATGTGTGTCACCTGAAATTAAGGAAAATCATTAATGCCAAGAATTTTACATGCCATGCCATGTGAAATCAAATGAAAATGTGGCCCAAAGTTATGACTATGGAAGTGTGTCTGTTTAAATAGATTGGATAAGGTGGAAAACTTGAAATCTTTCGAAGCTTGTTCCAATTTCGTCGAGAGTTGTTTTTTTTTTTAAATAAATGATTCACGTTAGACATTTTGTAAGTTTTCGCTGTCAACGAAGTACAAATATTTGTACAGACTTTGAAAAATGGAACGAATGCGGAAGATATTTGCGCTGTCGAAAAGTGAGAGCAAATTACGGCCCGATCTAAATATAAAAACTTACCTTCTATATATAGATCCGTTCGTAAGTTAGTAAAGCTAAGTAAAGCTAGAATATGGGTCAGTGGGCATTTTTGGCCAAGTTGCTGCGATCCCCAAATTAAGATTTCCAATTTAATTGCTTGAAAACTGAGTCATTTTTTTGTTCAATAAATAAATATAAATGCGAATCTTAATTAAAATGGCAAACGATTTGCAGCTGTTCGAATAGAAAGTTAATGAACTGCATCTGAATAATAATTTCAAATAAAAAGTTTAATGACTTTTGCCTTATTTCGCATAATCGAGAATTTGTGTAAGATTTCAATTTGGTTTATGCTTGCTGATAAATTTGTGTGCGACAGCGCACAAATGTCAGCTAAACTGGAATTTGGTTGTCGCTGTGATCAGGAATATATATCTATAATGTATATAACTTGACAGTTGTTTAAACTAAATATAATATAGCCCGGCATTGCCCGTGGCACGTATGATATAAAATCAATGGTTTCAAAAAGGTTTGCAAATGATTTTGAAACTGATCGGGCGGGAATCATCAAACTTTTATGCAAATCGGACAAAACTTAAAATTAAAAAAATAAAATTTGAAATGCATTTTCCACCGAAGAAGTTTAGATTTTGCAAAAAATGTGAAACACGTCTCAAATAATTTTTCTTATAGATCTTTGCAAAAAAAATTTGGGCACAAAACGTCATCCACCAAATCTTTGACCTCCATTTCCACCAAGGAGGAATGGATTTTCCTAAAAGTGTGAAACACCCCTCAAATGAATTTGAACAAAGATCTTTGAAAATAAGTTTGAGGCTGATCGGATGGTAAACAAAAAAGTTACATACAAACGTTTTTCGCGATTTTTCCATACTTGCGGGTGGAATTTCCCGAAACGCCGTCTTACCGTGCACCTACATCACATAAGGTAACTACTGTGAAAATTTCAGCTTCCTAGCTCTTACGGTTTGGACTGTGCATTGATCACCAATCAGTCAGTCAGTCAATCAATCAATAAGTCTTTCAGTCAGTCAGTCAGTCAGTCAGTCAGGCAGTCAGGACAAACAGTTTTATATATAGAGATTATAATAAACCTAACGAAACAAGTGGCATCGTCTCAAAAATGTTTCCACTTGTTGTTGGAGAAGGCGTCGAGCTCGTCACGCCAACTGCTTATAACGAATTAGGGATGCTTCAAGTTGCATTGTGGCAACAACAACAACAACAACACACAGTTCCCCTTCATGCATAATCCATACTAATTTCCCCTAGACCTCAGCCGTTGTAGGGTCAATGACAGGCTCTAAACGGCGGGGGGCAGTTCAGAAAGTTGGTCAACTGGAAAAAAGGAGTCAAAATGGGAAAAGCTGGAAAACTGAAAATATTTTATTTATGCACAGCACGTGTTGCATTTTGTGCTGGGGCAAGCAAGAATAGACCAAAATGCAACTTGTGGCAACATATTTGTTTATCCAGCGAAGCTAATGATCAGTGCGTGATATTGTTGTTGTTGTTGTTGCGCTGCGGGACCGGGCAACGACGGGTGTTTTAACGGCACCAGGAAGTCGTATAGTAAACGCTTTTGTAATTCTAACATATTTTACATATGCAATTTTCTGCTGCATAATATTATGAAAGGCAGCGAGGAAAAGCGTGAAAACTGTAGAC